GGTATGACATTGGGGTTTCTCAGTCAGGGAATTGGACTCTCTTTAAGTTGAACCAATCGCGCGTATTCGGAGGCCCATGAAAGTAGTCCGTTTATGACCTATTCAGCTTACTGAACGTAAGCCGCTCGTCTCGTTTTATATTGAAACTCAGTCAGTAACAGTCTCAAACCCATAAACCCGTCTCTAAGTTGCAGACCTTTTAATTTCATCGCTATTTCTGTATCTGCTCGAAAGCAGCTAATATATGCATGAGAACACGCGAGTTAAAGGCTCAGATGGTTTTAGCATAGTTCTCACCACACAACCTACCTCTGGGAGTAAGTCTTCTTCATCGTAGAATTCAACTTGTATCTTGCCTTGACGGTTCTTCACCAGAGTTTCGATATACTTTCTTGCCTTTGGAAAAAAAGAAAACTGATAGTTTGTTAGAGGCGTTAGGTGAAAAACCACTATATTTATCTAATACGTCCTTCCGGTTTTGGTCTAGTAAAGTTGGTTTGGCGTAGAGTGGCCGCTTCTAAAATCCGTCTCCATTTCAGCATATTGTTGTACGCCGATCGCTTAGCACAATTCTCTGCTGCGATGGTGTTTTTGTTAAATAATTTAATGGCCACCCCGTTCAACTTGCTTTCAAATTCCCAGGAATGCGCAGGGAGCTTAACGGGCATTGAGCTAAACGCACAACAGCAAAAGGAACTGATTCCAATCAGGGGCCAAAAAAAATTACTAGACCAATCCTTTTGTACATTATGAATATGCCCGGACTCATTGAAAGGCGTTTGAAGAAACACCAAAGACACGTGGCATATGGACCGACGACCAATTTACGCATTCAGATTTGACACCTGAAGAAGAGCATCAGCTATCCGGATAAGAAGTCACCTACAAGGTATTATGCGATGCATACGATGCCATATATTGTATTAAACGGGAAAAGCTGCCCCTTCACGCATCCATAAACAAAAACTAGCAGTTAAAAGACCGGACTATCTGTCTGAAGTTGTCATGCCTGCCCTTGGTACCGGGGGTAATTTCGCCTGGGACAAAACTCGCAGCATTGGCGTCTGGGCTCGCAGGAACCACTGAGAGCTTCTCGAAGTCATGCATTTATCAACGTTTTGAGTTAAATGTCATGCACAAACCCTCCAAGGTGGAATGGAGCAACCAAGAACCAAGCCATAAAGAATGACGCAAACGGGACCCCTTACTGGAGCGAATGCTGAGCAATCATCACGCTAAAATCCAGCACGGATACTGGAAGTGTAGCAGGTCACGAGCTCCACGAACGGGCAATCATGCTCGATAACGGGGGCAGCCGTTACTTGTCATAGGTATGCACTAGCATAGTAACTGTATCCTATAAATACGAAGTACCCATTAGTGTTACTCTCTTTGATTATGGGCTCAAGAAGGAACTCGAAACGTCAGATGAATAAAGGTAATGTCCCAGTGATCGAAGCTTCTTCTTCTCATATTTGAATGGTTAACTTTGTTTTCCATATTTCTCATTGTTTGAAAATGAGCTGGGAAACCACTTCCAAACATTCATTTAATAACGTTACCACTTTTTTTCAAAACGCGCACTTAGCTAAGTTTATGCGTAAATTGTAAACTTCCCTCCTACCTTGACACGTTCCTCCTGGTCGCAGTTAGCTCCATTCCACTGAGTGAGAGAGAGTCCTCTGTCCAGGATGAATACGTCTCCCTTGTCGAGGGCCTTCTTGGAGCAAGGGGCTTCACGAAACTCTACTTTCTTCCCTATTAGCTTGAAATGCAGAAGGCGTGGCTTGTACTCCTTTGCCTTCTCTTTGTCAAAGGCTGATTTAAGACCATTCCGAAAGATTCTAAAATGCAGCAAGCACACCCCTGTAGGCCAAGTGTTTTCTTCATTTGAAAGTTTTTAAAGTAGAAAATAGGAATATGTAACATCCCACCTCTCTGAAGAACAGTTGGGATAAAACCGAATTGCAAGTGCCATGAAATACGAGAATATAAGAAGAAGAAGCAGCAGCGCAAGAAGAAGAAGAAGAAGAAGAAGAAGAAGAAGAAGAAGAAGAAGAAGCAAAACTCTTATTCCCTCGTTTTCAAACTATAGACGTAGTTTGCTTACTGTAAAACAATGAAAACGTCACTTTTTTATTACCCCAGGGACAGATCACTAACCTAGAATAAATTGGTTTATATTTTGGTCTATAGGCGCAGAACGAAATGCTAAGTAAATATCAGACGCGAAATTCGAGAGCAACAGGGGGGTAATCGCGTACCATGCATTGAACAGCCGACAGGCAGCTTTTAATATATATGCACAATATACTGGCAGCGCCGTTACTAGTTGAATGTCCAGGTATGTATTTCACCGATATTCTCACCCCTGCTTGGCACAACTTCGAGGGCTTGGTCTACCAGTTGGTTCAATCGAAATCCCCGTGTGCTTTCTGTTGTATACCTTAGTTTTTTTTAAATTATTGCTTTGTAATTTCCTCAGATATTTATCGCTAACTTGGAAGTACAAAATCTACTGTAATTGAAGTGGGTTTGTGTGCTCTTTAAACACATTGATATGCAGTTTCGTAGACCTAGATAATCCCGATTTGCATGTGCTCTCAAAGCCTTTAGTTTTTAAAGAATTTAACTTAGCGCACTTGTCAACATTCATCTAAATCCCTGCAGGAGTGATAGGCCCCATTTTGAAGTAAAAAAGATCGAGCGTGCAAATGGCGCACAAACGCGCAGGTAACTGCGTTCTGCTTACCCGAAACAGGGGAAATAACTCAAAAACAGACTGGATTCGAAATATTCGATCTCCCGATGGATGATTGCTTTGTCGTCAAAAAGCGAGATCAGCTCGAACAGTTTTTTGGGGGGTGTGAGACCATGTTTCTGAAATTGCAGAAAATGTGACACAGATCGAAGTAGCCTATCGAGAGTTTCGAAAAATAGTTTGTTTTTAAATGAAAGCTCTTGAAATGGGTCCTTATACGTAAGTAGGCACAGTTATAAGGGACCTTCCGTTTTGTCTGAAAGTTTTTGGCCGGCTAAGGAAGGAAGAATTCATCAATTGGTTCAATATTTAGCTTGTTAAAAGAAGGAATAAGTGTTTGCTACTAACCCAGAAAAGCGATTATCGATGTACGTTGAGAAGTGGTTTCTCTTCTTTCGAAGATTTGCACTTGTACATAATGGCAGTTCATCTGTTGACCTCACGAATGAAAAAAATGGCCTCAGGTCAGTCAAGTAGGGTGAATTAGTTTGGCATTGTGAAGAAAGGTCGACTTTCTTCTTCCATCCGACCTCCTTGCCTTTAAAATGACTTTCAGGCTCGTACACCTCTCCGCAAACTTTAAATATCAATCACTCGTCACAAGCGCCATCAGCGCCTCAGTATTCCACGACAGTCTGTTTGCCCACACCTGTCCTATTCATCCTGCAAGTTCACCGCAAACGTAACCCAGACCACAATTAGCTCGATGTGGAGGTGAGAGAAAATGGAACAAAAATTCGGGCAACAGTAGCTTATGTAGCCCCACTCATTAATCCCTACAACCTGCATG